GATGTCTATGTAGCATTTTGTCTCAAAAGAGGGGAAATTTTATAATAAAAGACCATTATATGGTGAGAAAGATGAGTAGAGCTGTAACCTGCTTACATGGTCGTGGACAGGCCATGGCAGTTTATACGGCCTCATAAATAAAACGACTTACATTCTCAAGAGAAATAGCCTTTGACTGAACTTTACTAGTAACTTTCAAATTCATAAAACTGATATAAGACAATCAAAGCAAATGTTTTGGAGTTCTCTTTAAGTGCTTTATATGTTCAAATAATGTTGTCGAGTCCAAGCAAAAGCATTCACATTTTACTCTTCATTATGTTGCATTTTGGCCGTTGATCCTCAAACATCACCCCACTTTCTGTTCTCCACATTGGTAAATGAGAGGTCAGGATGGCAAACTCTAAATCCGGACAAGGTCAGGCCAATGCATGTGCATGAGGATGCAATAATGGCATCAATTCAGGATTTAACGCTCCAATGCTCTGGTGGTGAATATTAAGGGCCTGATGGCTCTACACCTTGATTTCACCGGGCGGCAGGTCGCCCATTGCGCCCTTAGAGCGGATGGTAAATGCTGCAGATGGATAAGGAAAAGTTTTCACAAATTGCTTTTCTCTGACTAACCCTGAGGAATTTGAGAGTTCTCACTGCTGCCGAGTCTCCTCCTGATTGGTTATTTTGGTACAGTAACGCAACACCAGTGCCAGGATCTACGCCGCCGCAAAAATCACTCAAAGTACTCATGGCGGTAAATCACAGTTCAGGCTCCACCACTCAAATCAGAGGGCGCATATACGATTACCATCCTTCGGTTGCGCAGAGGCCGTTGGTTCTCTCCTTGAAGTCATTGTGACCTTGGATATCCTGGATGGGAACTCGATAGGGTCTGTGCTCACTTGCGAAGCCAGCATTGCAAAGTGTTTTAGCTTTGTCAGCGAGCATTTCTAATCCAGTCTTTTTTAACAAACAAATATGGATACAATAAATCTCTACATATACAGTCATTTCGAAGTGCCACTAAACAAAGATCCTGCCAAATATAGGCTAGTGCACCATTTACAGCGACCTCTGCTCGCTTGAGGCCAACAGGTTAGTGCCTTTTAAATGATTCACTTCCCTACCTCAAGCCTTCAACCCGTTTTGTGAAAAAAACGTTGGAACTCTCCTATAAAAGGCGCAAAATGTGTCATATTATTAATTGAAATATAATTTGCAAGTATAAATGAGGCTCTTTCTTTTCTCTTAATCAACAGATGAAAGGCTTAATTAATGCCGATGGCCTTGACACTGGTGCGGTAAAAAACGCCTCTGAGAAGACATTGACATTCTGTCTGCTTGTAAGCCATCAACATTTCTTTCTCCTACATTAGTTGTTCACGATCTATCATTGGGAATCGTTCGCCTATCAACGCTTCCTAATTAATGTTCTACCTGTGATGCAGACTTGTCCACAATGCTCCTCTCTCTGTCCTGGAGGGAAA